TCTCTCCATACCTCTTTCCCATGTTGGAGATTTTCATTGTTGGAAAAGCCACATTGAAAGGTTGGGAGCAAAGGTTACCCTGATCCATATCCACTTCCAAGGTGGGATGTCTAACTATGAGGTTGGCACCACTTCAACTAATGCTAAGATTCTCTCCTAGAAATCAAAATATTGATCACGAAAGCAATCACAATCTTAATCTAACCATAAAATAAAACTAAAGATATCATGAATAATATTTAAAAATATCCTATATCAGTGAATCCATCTAAACATGAGTATAGTGCCCTGATGGTGAACCTATGGCACGCGTGCCACAGGTGGCACACGTAGCGATATCAGTGGGCATGCCAGCTCAGCTCTGGCGTGCATATGCGTGCCGGCCAGCTGATTTTTGGGCCTTCTGGGCCCACCAGAAGTAGGGAAACAGGCTGTTTCCTGCCTCAAGAGGGCCTGGGGGTGGGTGGGGAAGGCCCGTTTTTCTTTCTCACCTGGCTCCAGATCCTCTCTGTGCATCTGGGGAGGGCGAAAACAGCCTTTCCCACTCCCTCAGAGGCCCTCCAGAGGCCTAAAAGGGCCCATTTCCCAACTCCCAGTGGGACAGGAAGTGATGTTTTTTGCTTTCCCGAGCCTCCAGAGACTCCTAGAGAGTCTCCCCCCCACTCCTGGCACGCGATGGCAAAAAGGTTAGCCATCACTGGTATAGAGGAATAGATTCATAATGCTTCATATAAAACCCGTAACACAAAAGTCTGAAGGAAATATAATGTATTTGTTTCATTATATCAAGATAGGAACTAACACGTTTTCTCTGGGGAGAGAAAGGTGTTACATAGCAATGATTCGGCCTAAAAAGGTACTTTTTCACTGCTACCCAGCCTCTTTTCATACTAAGAAGAGACATTTGGAAACAGAAATTCAGCATATAATTTTAAGTTATGCATGAAATAAGCTGATCCTTCTCATAATACTTCTCAAGCCCTGCAGGATTTTACAGGATTTAAAACCAACCCTTTGAACCAGGCCTTGATATGAAAACTAGGGAAAATGATAAATTACATACTAGCAGCAACAACTTGATTCTTAATTCCTACTTTACTTTATATAAAGCTTTACTTTACATTAACTGAATTGTTTAGAATGTTATTAAAAACCATTTAATGTACAAGGCGTTGCAGCCTGCAACCTAAATGGGAGATTGCTACAGCATAGTCCATTAAAACCTAACCTTCTCTATCAAGGTAGAGTCACTGTTGGCCTATTAGCATGAGCTAGAAGAAGATGCTCCATGACCTGCCTTCAGAACAAGTTGAACAGCACTCAGCAGAACACCAAAACCATTCATTGGTAGTGTTTCCACCTCATGTAGATTAAATTTCAGTATGTTGCCTGGGTATGTTGCCCTTTAAGACCTCTGGACTTGAACTCTTGCTTTAAGTTCATTGATTCTTATAGCAAATTAATTTATTTTCCCATAATCATAAACCTTCTATAAAGTCCCAAATCATCTCTTCCTTTGGTCATCTGGTTTTAAATCAACATGATCAGAACATGATTTCTTTATTTGTGCAGTTTATATAACTGCCCATCTCACAAAACAAGTGATTCTATCAATAGCCTAGGGAATTTTCACTGGCAACAAGTTAGAAAAAGACATTTATGTATCTTATAAAAAGAAAGTAACTAGTGTTTCAGATTTAAGATTTTACCCAAGGTTAATATCTTTGTAAGAAGTAGACTATAACAATGCAAAAAATAACAAGAAAAGAATAATTTACATTGTTATACTGCAATCATGTTTGGAGGAATGGAACTAATATAACTGGAGGCTACAAGCTGTCTATCTAAAAAATTAACGGCACGGTTTTTTGCAAATTCATTTTGAATACCCCTCGGGGTTCTCTGTGTATGTCTACAGTAGCAGTCCAACTTTATAATTAATACAAAAGTTTGAAAGAATTAGTCACAGGTAATAATTTTTTTATTTAGCTTTGTATGCCATTTCAACTGCATATGACTCCCCTGACATAAGTCTACCACCATAAGAAAAGATTAAAACAACAAAGATTATAACATCAGCCTAAACAAACAATAATAGTATCTTTTCTATTCACCATTATAAAGTAAGAAACTGCCTTATATCAGCTTAGAACATTGGTATGGAACTCGCTAGATACACTTGAAATGAAAGTTCAGGCAAAAATATTTTCAACCTTTCCTAGAAAAAAACAGGAATTAAACCTGAAATATTCTGCATGTAAACATGTGTTTTACTGTTCTCTTTAGCTGTTGCTTCTTATTGCTACTTCTTGCAGTAATATTGGTCTATATTAGATTTATCATGGCATACATTTAGCTTTTGAAACATACTCATAGCAATAGTATTACACTGCAGCAAATTCACTTTATAAATATGTCTTTCAATATGCAAAACAAGTTTTCTTAATAGGAAATCAGGTGAATTCTAATGCTTGAGACAATACCTTTAATTAACATTTGCAACCTAATCCCATATGGATGTTCTACAAGTCTTTTTTATTATTTTACTGCAACAATAACATGGCTACTACCTATCTATATGTGCATACACACAGACGCACACAGACACAATTGCCGATATTCATGACTTTTCCAGCACTTTCCCTAAGCAGAAGAATAAATGGCCAACCAAATAAACATTCATTAATCAGGTCAGGACATGACAGAATGCCTATTTTGAAAGAACAGGGTTCTGCTGATTGTCTGGGTCTTGGAGAAAACAATATAGTACTTCTGCACTGATGTATTAGTGTTTGGATGGCTTCCCAGCTCTCTCTTCAACCACCATGGCAGAAGTGTCACAGAAAAGCTTCAATGCGCAGATGCCTCAAAATAAGACACTCAGTACCACTTTATGGTGCATACATGAATCCAGACTGCAGAATTAAAGAAACCTTCCAAAGGCAAATAGACCCAGCTCAGAGGAACCAGATCATCCTGCTGCAGGTCCCCACATGAGATCTCTTCTTTCAATGTTATCTATACATGTGCAATATTACTCAGGCTCGCTTATACACCTCCACCATGCCTTTATGCAAATTTGCCTGAACCTTTCAACATCCATCTATTTTCATGTCTGCATGAACTTCCTTTGCATGATCACTGATGCTTGGCCTACATTTCTCTAGGCTCAGCTGGGGAGTAATGTGCAAACTTGGACCCTGCGGAATGAAATCACTGTCACAATTTAACATTATACAGAAGGCAATTCTGCTAAAAACTATGGTTTCACAAGTGAATTTAACAATTAAATGCATCATCAGACCACATATCTGAAGTGTAAAATGGATAATGCTTGCTTGAGAAAAAGAGAGGTATTCTCACAGACTATCAAACTGCACTAAATGTTCCTTCTTACAAATTTCTGTGAGAAAATCAGATGCTATGAAAAACTCAGCTCAACCAGAACAGAATGTTTTAATCACTGAAAAATAAATAAGTCTCCAATTTGGATCCAAACAAAATCTTACAATATAGCAAGCTATCTTCCAGAATTCATCATTATATTTCCCATGAAGTAATGGAGTAATCAATAAACATTTGGACATTACTTTTAAAAGATGTATTTAATGTATTTCTGGCCACTTTTTCAACATTAAAAAAGCTCTATATGGATATTCTTGATATTTTAGTATACACTTTGAATGCTGGAAAAGTATTACTCTCCTGATGTTTTAAACTATTTTTAAACTGCTACTAATGTTTTCCCATCTGCAGTGCTTTCCAGAACCAAAGATCTATTACTTTATGAGCATTAATAATGCTTTAAATGTACAAAACGTTTGTTTTTATTAGGGAAACAATAACAAGCATTTATATTGTAGTAAACATGGTGTGTAAGGCATCAATTACATAACTATTTTAATTTATATTCTAACTGGATACAATTAGAATAGGTACACTTTGTGCTTAAGCGTGAACGATTGTGTCTTTGTAGGCAAACATCACATCAATATGACAAATGTATATGAAATGGAAGCATGTAGAAATATTTGGGTTTGTTTTTTTTCATAACTCAAGCCGGACATATTCCTGACAATCAGCAGCTTTGGGGAAACTACTTGTGGCTCCTTAGCCACAAACCATGTCCATGCCTTTCTTTTTTGCATACCACTCATTCCATCTTTTGCTGGGTAATCAGCATCCCATTCATGTTTCTTGGCTCCCCTCTCTCTGATACTAGCCTGCACTACGGCACCCTTTGTGAAAGCAGGTCCTCATCCAGTTGATATGCACATGCTTCTCTCTTCACCTCCATCTTCTTGCCATATTCATCTTCCTACACACTAGCTCAAATTTACACACATGGGCAGATTTCTCCATTCCCTATCTTTGAAATTTTTTAAATTTAAGCTTGAATGCCCCCCCCCACTCAATATTTCCTAGCCTCGCTGTTAGATCTTATCAGAGCTCTGCTTGATACAACATCAAAGGCACAGCATAAACTGAACCTATTAGCAACATTCTCAAAATAAGACGTTTGATTCTGAAAAAAAGGGGGGTATCCGATCTGCTCTAAGGAGTTGCATCTCCCCAAACCTCAAAAACATGTATTTCCGTAACATTAGGAGCACATGGCAAACTCAGGCCAAACCACCTTTCTTTTCCTCCCATATGCACTGGTCTCAACAAGACACCCCACTATCCCCAGCCTTCTCCTGCAGCGCAGTTATAAATCACCCTAGTGCACCCCAAATTCCTCCCCTCTTTTCTCATGGGCTCCACGGATCGCGCCTTCCCTTCTACTATGCACAGCTTTCTTGCTCCCGGCTCCAGTTTACAGTCAGCAGGCGACACGCTCCGCAGCATGGGCTCCCAGCTGCACTTCGCCCTTAATCCCCGCTCCTTCCAGCCCAAACTAGTCCACAGCCTCCATCCTCCTGGGCTCAGCCAACCGAAGTTGCCCCCGCGCCACTTCTCCTGCGATACTTCGCCCAGCCCGGCTAGTCTGTGGCTCCCACCTGGCGGAGGGTCCGTGAGGCTGCGCGGGGCCCGGTGCAGCGGCAGGCGCTCTGCCCGGTGGGAGCTGTCCTCCACTGCTTGGTGCTGAAGGTGGCTTGGCGGATCCAGGCGAGGTGGAGGGACCCGCGGCCAGGCCGGGGGGCAGCTGCCCCTCGGCTCCCCCGCCCTCTAAACTGGCCTCATTGCCCATGGCCAGGCAGCAGCGGTCCGGATGGAGACAAGGCTCCCCGAGCGTCTTCAGCGCAGTGCTGTCTGCGCCGCCATCAGCCTAGCACCACCATCTCCGCCTGCCCCGTCCGCACTGAGCATGCGCTCAGCTTGGAGCGCGAGCCCAGCACCCAGCCCTCCGAGAGGACGCGCTTCGTATGGGGGCGCGCGGGCGGCGCGCGGGCCCGGACCAATGGAGGCCGGCGCAGCGCTCGAGCCGGCCCCCCCGCCAGCACGTGCTGTAGCTTCGCCAATGATTGCTGAGATTCCCCCTCTTCGTTTCTCCCGCCGGCGCCTCTGGCATGCAGAAGATCCGGATTGCAAAATGTGAGCGGAGCGGGTCTTGGGGCGCCGTTACCACCAGGCAGACGGAACAGACCCACCCGGGCAGAAGCAGCCAAGCCCGGAATGGATTGTCTCGTTGTGCTTTTGCTTTTGGGGGCGGGGGAGGTCTTCATTGGCAACTCACGCTTTTCGGAGTCCTCTCACTCAAAGCAGCTCTTCAGACACATTGGAAACTAATCAAAGAGAGAAGCAAACTGGAAGTAAGGAGAAACTTCCCAGCAGCGAGGACAATTAACCAGTGGAACAGCTTTGCCTCCAGAAATCGTGGGCGCTCCATCACTGGATGTTTTTAAGGAGAGTCTAGACAGTCACTTATCTGAAATAGTATAGGTTCTCCTGCTTGACCTGGGGGCTGGACTAGAAGACCTCCAAGGTCCCTTCCAGTTCATTCATTCTATATATGGCAGATCATGTGCCCAATCAATACCTTTTAAGAGGACATCATTCCATGTCAAGTGGTCTGGGGGTCCCTGCTTGACTATCACTGATTTCGATGAATTGACAAATGGGCCCAATTGATTATGTTCACTATTCATGGCATACATCATCCCCCTCTTTGTGACTTTATTTACACAACAATATAGTTTACTACTAGCACCGTTTATATTCTCTTTTGAAAGGGACACCTTCCAGAAGTGTTGGACCTCAGCTCCCATAATTCCCAACCGGCATTGCTGAAGAGCTTCTGACAAAATTAGAGATGTTGATGTCCAATGTGTCTCGAGGGCTGGAAGTCTGATACAAAGCTTCTGCAGACATACTGTACAGAACTAGGTGTGAATAGCAAATTCAGACATAAAAAGGGCAACTATTAATAATATGGTGCTCTTGGGTACCAAATTCCAATTCTTTAAAAAAACAAAAATTACAGACATACTTCCTGTTAACTTTATGAACTTGTATTGAATTCTTGATTAGTCTGTAGCCTGAATATTGTGTTCTCAGGATTGTATATTACTAATAAATGTTTGCTTGTTTTCCCTTAATTTCAATACCTATCAGAATTTTTTCCTGTTTCTAATAAATGAATCATCAATCACTCTTACAATTTGGTGTGTACCACATTTAAGTATGCTGTCCTATTCATTATATTGCTTTTTTTAAACAAAACTTGAATATTTATTTTGGCTTGAGAAAACAGATTAATACTAGGATTAATTACAGGTAGTCCTCGATTTACAACAGTTCATTTAGTGACCATTCAAACTTACAACTGCACTGAAAAAAGTGACTTGTGACCATTTTTCACACTTACAACCGTTGCAGCATCCCCATGATCACCTGATCAAAATTCAGATGCTTGGCAACTGACTCATTTATGATGGTTGCAGTGGCCCAGGATCATGTCATCACCTTTTCTGACCTGAGAAGCAAACTCAATGGGGAAGCCAGATTCATTTAACCGTGTTACTAATTGAACAACTACAGTGATTCATTTCACTTAATAAACCATAACAACTGTGGCAAGAAAGGTCGTAAAATGGGGCAAAATTCATTTAACTGTCTTAGCAACAGAATTTTTGGGCTCAGTTGTCATAATTTGAGGGCAACCTGTAATACTAGGCAAATTCTTTGGTTTGGGGGACTGTTGAAATGTTACCATCACTTAATATACCCATACTATAAACCTATACTACTATACCCATACTATAAACTAAAATACGTTGAATACAGATTCAACATATTTAGCTATAACCAACTTGATAGTATAGATGTAGACTGCTGTCTAAATTATAATAAGATCAAATAATCTAATGACTGAATACACTCCTTCACTGTATGTGGTGATATTGCAAAAAGAAGTATTTCATTATGGATAGGACTGCAATATTTTGTTAATTAACTTTTTTTCCCAGTGGGGAAGCCAGCATAATCCATTGCAATAAAAACAAAAACCTTTTGGTCCCTTATAGTCAAGGTTTTGTGGATATTGGATTTATGGGATATCAGGGGAGAATGTTCCTGTGTTCATATTGGTGGTGGTAGAAAGTATTAATAAGATGATTTAGGGAAAAATGAAACGTAAGAGGTCAATACAGTGGTCTTAGAGATGGATGCATTTTTGCATTGGTGTCACAATGAACATACTTAGTGTAATACAAAACCATGGCTTCTGTTTAATGCTGGAGGAATAGCATTAAATATGAAACTTAAGAAGGAAAATAGGAAATCAACTGAGAAGTCAAATGACCACAAATGTTAGAGCTAGATGGGGGCAAATAAGGCTTTGAAGCATAATTAGATTAAATCAACAGTATAAAAGAACATGTATGATCAATTCAACTTATTCTGTGCCACATTACAAAGAAAAAGTGTTATAGGAGTATTGTAGTATTCACCCTATGACATCATAGAATGAAGGACACTGCAACATGCCCTAGTAAAGGTCAACTGGTATTTTTGGTGTACAGGTGTATGAAAATAGGAAATTATTAACTCTCCCATTAAATATTAATAGCATTTTGAAAAGGCTGGATAATTAGTTCTGGTTATGTTGTACAATAACTCCATTTCTAGGGATCACATTCAATCATTTATTATTATTTTTTTGCCCGGGAGCACTGACAGTTACATAAAGCAATATAGGAAAGGCTGCATGAAATCAGTTTCTGCTTGAGTGACTTCTTCCTGGTATATTGGAAGGTTTCAGTGAAAACAGTGCAGCAATCCAATAGGTTGATAGATGGGTTTGAGCTAATAATTAAATATTATTATCCAGGCTCTTGTTTCTATTCTAATCAGGCCAGAATCTATAATAAAGGCTGTATTAGAAACACATTTAGGAGTGCCAAATACAGAACAAGGAGATCTAACTTTGTACAGTTTCAAGCAGTCTAAAAATAGAATATTTGCCCCTAATACAAATAGTCTTCACTGAACAGCCACTCATCCAGCCACTGTTCAAACTTATGACAGCACTAATGAGGACTTACAATCGGTCCTCATAATTGGGGCCATCACCGTGTCCCCATGGACACATGATTGCAATTTAAACATTGACAACCAGCTTGCAATTATGACATTGCAATAATCTGTGGTCACATGATCATCATTTGCAATCTTCACTGCCAGCTTTTAATTATATATATATTATATATATATATATATATATATATATATATATATATATATAATATATATATATATTATATATATATTATATATACACATATATAATATTATATTTATTATATTATATTATATTAAAATTTGGTGATTTGTTCTCTGAGCTTGTTGTTGAGTTTTAGAATGTTTCGTCACCAGGCTAGGGTAACATCATCAGAGGAACTTTGGTTGAAGTGTCTTATTTCAGTTCTCTCCTGCTTTTATAGGTCTTATGTGGTTAGTTGGTCATGTGAATGATTGGTTTCGTCACCACGTGACTGACGTTTTGTAGCCTGGTGATGAAATGTTCAGAAACTAAACAAGAAGCTTGGAGAACAAACCACCACCGATATCTACTACTTGAGCTACAAATATTTGCCACCATTTCTAATTATATTAGAATTTTGAAAACAGAATACAAATTAACAAGAACTAATATTTAGAATGGAAAAAGAGGAAAAAAAGAAAGAAGAACAGAGCAAAGACAATGCAAAGAAAAAAAGCAGAGCAAAGAAAAGAAAAAAGATAAAGAATTGACTTACAATTTTTTTACAGCATTTATAAGTATGAATGTAAATCTCTTATTCTACGATTGCAGCATTCTTTACAATTTTTTCCCCTATAATCTATTATTTTTGTTACAATCATCAAAACATATAACTTCATTTTTTCTGTTTCCTGCAAGCAGACAATAAGTGGTTTCCGGTCATTGTTAGACAATGTTTAATTAAAGCAGTCAGTTTGGCCATCCCAACAAGTTCCATCATCTTCACTATCCATTCCTCCATCATGGGTTGTGTTGTATCTTTCTACCGTGGTGTATGTAATAGTTTTTCTGCAATTGTCATATATAGAAATAAAGTTCTATGCTTTATTTCCAGCTGCTTATTCTTCAGTCTCCCTCAAAGTCACTGTTTTAAACTGTACATGAATCTTTAAAATGTTCTTTATTGTTATATGGAGTGGTGGGCTGATGCCGGTTTGGACCGGTTCTAGCAAACCGGTAGTTCCAACTATCAGCTGGCCCACCTGCCCCTGCCCTATCCTGTCCTATATTTCCTTCTTTCTGGCTCAGCTGATTCGGCAGCACAGCTGATTTTCGCACCTCCGCTGTTCTACTTATCAGGGCTGCCTTAGAAGGTAAGCAGCTGAGTTTCAAATTGCTGTATTTTGAACACTGTGTGCAAGTGGGTTAGGCGTGTGCGTGCAAAGCGTGCGCTCACAGAACAGGTTGTTAAACCGGTTGCAGCCCACCACTGGTTATATGTAATTGAGTCCAAAATTTTCTGACTTTTTTACACATCACCAAGAATAGTAAAAATGACCCTTCATGTCGAGTACATTTCCAGCATGTAAAGTCTGAAGAAACTTTATACATTCTAGGCAGTTTTTCCAGTGACATCTACCAATAATACACCATTTTATCAAATTCTCTATAAGACTCTAGCACCGTGATGGTGAACCTATGGCACTCCTAGAGACTCCTAGAGAGGCTCTGTAGGCTGGGGACAGCAAAAAAGGTCACTTCCTGTCCCACCGGGAGTTGGGAAATGGGCCGTTTCAGGCCTTTGGAGGGCCTCTGAGGGAATGAAAAATGTTTTCGCCCTTCCCAGATAAATAGAGAGGATCTGGAACCA